ATTAAAATAGTTAAATATAACTATACATAAATTATTATAGTCTCACTCATTGGATATCTTATTAGAAATATCTCTTATAAGATATTTATATGTTATCCTGGTGTAATGACATGAAAATATTAAATATCTTATTAAGTATCTTATTAAGTATTTATTTCGCGATAATCTTATCTCAACATTTTTATATTTAAAACGATGAGAAGAGAATTGCGCGTGATCGTTTATAGATTTTTAAAGTTTCATTTACGCGCTTGGTTACATTTTTATAATTAATTGCTGCGATATCATCAGGATATCTTGTAGATATTTTTTAACATTTGGAAATTCAAATTATAGAGATAAAATTGTATATATATACACGATTAGATATTGCATATCATGCAGAGTCGCAAATCGAATTCGTTTCGCATGTAATCTAACTGTAATGAAAATTGTCAGTATCGATATTTAACTAAAACCAACAAAAATACGCAAACATTTTGTTAAATGAGGGTAGTCCTGTCCATGATAAGAATGACAGCTGAGCGGAGGGGAGAAAAGAAGCTGGAATTAACCGGTTATACGAATATGAACTCGAGACCCCACCGAGATGACGGAAGAGAATGACAGAAAAAAAATATGAGATAAAATACTCACATGATCCGTGAAAGACAAGGAGGGTATTATTTCTATCGAAATACTGAAGGGCTGATTACAGTCGTCAGATATTTCAAACTTATCAAATGTTTACCACTGAATAAATGTTGTTCCGCTCGTAATCTTATGTTTTAACAAGTGAAGCTTCAATTAATAAGTGTTTTCGATTCTAATGTGATAAATAATAATTTTCATAATTTCATATAATTGCAAATTTAAGTATATAAAGTGTATTGTAAAAATTAAAAACGTGCAGCAACGGCGGTAGAAAATGTTACGCCTATACGTACAGAATAAATGTATATAATTTTTTCTTCATTGATTGTAATTTGGTAAAGATGGCAAGTTATCGAATTTTCTATAGAAAAAGAATCATTACGCAAATACTATGTATGCTTCTTTCAGCGAAAAGGAATTATCATTACATCATTTACTTGATAATCTTTCCCTGTTATTAGAACAAACGTTTAAAATGTCTTCTCTCTCTCTCTCTTTATTAATATATCTTAAGGCGTTATCTACTGCAGCTGCATGAATTTATCTTCTTGAATCTTTGATGATAAATTGCATATAATTATTTTTTTATACAACATGCACATATTAATAAGATACTATTATACTGAAACGAATTAATATAAACTTTATATTTACTTTTTAGTACTTCTGTATAGAATGCGTTTAAAATTGTGATACAATTGAGAAAAGAACAGTTTTCGTTGCAAAAATAAGACGGTAATATAGAATAAAATTTTTCATAGCTTTGTTCGAAGCTTTGTTTCCGAGAAAAAATTAACTTTAAAAATTGGAAAACTAATAACATAATGCTTTTTTAAGTTTGAATGACCAATGACCGCCCGAATAGAAAATTGTTTAGAAAAAAATGATTACAAGTTAGAAACTGGTCAATAAATATTGGCTAGTTTTTGGATTTATTGAACAATAACTATTTAACGACTGAGTAAAAAATTCTGTTTAGATAAAATCTTATTTAGAG